ACGCGAAAAATTTGTCGCGAAATTTGTTGAATAATCGTGCGATTTACAAGAAATTGATTATAGTGTTTGTGTTGACACGGAAAATTTTCACGAAATAACGATAATTCTACCCGACACGGAAATGTATCATGCTGTGCAACCATTCTAAAAGTAACGTTGGTTATGGGTTTTGTTGGATTACGGAGGAAGACTTCATCACCCATTCGCTCATCAGAAAAAGACATACGTCAGAAAAGGCTAACAATTTTTTTTTGTCAACAAAGATCTTACTAAGCTTTTCTATTGCGGGGAGTCAAAATGAGGTAAAGTATTGAATATTATCTTAACGTTGATGAAGCATCATTACGGGAAGATCAAAACATTGTTGTTATTGTGGATTATCCAAATAGTGAAGATAAAATAGTCTTCTGATTGATAATACTATTTGTAATGACATAACATAACACTCACAGATCATATTATAACTAAAAGCACGGCAATTTACCGCATTGTTTGAACACCAGGAGTTTGTGCAGCTGGGTGTAGCATGGCATAGATTTAAAAAAAGAAATAATGATAACCTACATTGCAGGAAGTGTTAATAGTGATTTTTATCACAACTGAGATCCAAATTAAAAATAATTCTAGCTGACTATACGACGCATGCAAAATATTCAATAGTGATAAAACCGAATTATATATATATATTGGAAATTAGAGCTTGTCGAGTCAATATACCCTTGGTGTACGAGCTTTTGAATTTAGCTCTTTTCAAACGAAATTTTTCGACATGCTTACTTTGTGATAAATCTATGTGGCAATAACTTAGCTACGATTTATACTCACGATCTCTAATATCGGTCTTGTATACGTTTTTCCTGGATTATTTTTGACGTCGATTTCTTTTAGCGGGATTTGACTAAAAGCTTATTGGTCTGGGAATACAAACTAAACTATTTCTTGTTTCCTTTGAGATTAAGGGCGAGTATAATCTCGGGAATTCGCAGTCGTTTATTCTCAATAGTTCAACAACTGCACCGCGATTGTTCTTTACCAGGTAATATTAATAACGAACAAATAGATAATTATTATTTAACACCTGTTTTTATAAGAATATAAAGGACTATACTAAATTAAAGAATGATTGAAAAAAAAACAAATGAAAAATGGCATTCTGCTATCGTTTTATCGTCGTACTAAGGCAAGAACTTGGAATATATCAAGTAATTCGGAGTGTCATTTGTCCCAATGCGGACTTCTTTCCTAATCTCATGTCCGCAGTTTGGAGAATTACGTCACTGTTAAGATTGGCAAAAACTCGTGTCGGGATGAAAAACTGCCACTTTTGTTTTTAAAGATCCTCGAGCTTTGCATGGTATTGTTTTGGATGCAACAGTCAATATAATATTGAACAGTTGAACGTTAGAGCGAATTAGGCTTATTGGTAGTAGTTCCAAAGCTCACAATTGAAAATTTGGGATGCAATTAATTTTCCATCTCTGCTTGGAATCGGGTAACATCTAAGACTATGATATCTTCTTGCATCCTCCCACATGGCATATTTGGAGAAATGGATACTGAAACTCATGAAACTGAAATCAAGATTGTTAACCTCATTCAGCAATTGCCAATAGATGATCTGATCATAGGGTAATTTAAGACATCTTCTACTCTTAGAAATGACCAAACGCGCTTTAGCAGAGGAAGTTTTGAAACTTCAGATCACGCAAGCTTCTGTTCAAACTTTCTACGATCACGATAAACAACCTCAACAATCTTCAGTATCTCTTCTAGCGCGCCGTAACCCAGACTCTTGGGGAAGCTTAAGCCCTTCAGACATGTATTATATTGGCAAATTTCCGGAATGCAATAAAGAATCATATGTTACCTGGGGCTCGAGCTTGATATTCTTCTTTAAGCATAGAAACTATATAAACATCGACAAAGCTATTGACTCGAATAATGCTGCTGATGTTACCTTTATGCAACAAATGTTGACGCTATCAACCAAGTTGGCGGTCAAGAAGACGAAAGCATTCAGTTGTAATGGATTGTTACTAGTTGATCAGTAAAGTTGTGCACCCCGTAATTATTATTTCAATGTATTGGACTATCCCAGAAAGGATACGGGAAAATGTCGCGTGTGATCAATATCTTGGCCAAGCTAGCGTAAATAAGACCAGGCAGGCCTAGGTTCTAAGATGTAGTACAGTGCAAATGTAAACAGGCAAGGCAAGAGGAAGGAGGAGGAGGGTTGATATTACTGTAAATAAATGCTTCATGAATTATACTGATTGCGAAGCGCGAAAGCCCAAATGTACAAGACACCCTTCCCCCTCATCGCCGATTAATTGCTTGCATCCGCATGATCAAATCTGCTTTTGTAAATCTATAACAATAACATAACGTTATTATTGAACCATGATAGAGGACATGTAATAATTATTAAATAGAAATAAAGTAATGTTTATGGTACTCAAATTTTATTCTGATTAACAGATTCCTTTAACCAAAACTACGTCTTACATGTAATAGTATAAATACCAGTGTCTATGAAGCTATGATCAGAACGCTTAATCAAACGC